TTCAAAGAAGTTGGGTGTCCCCCTCCTGGGGTGTGGTTTCCCCTTCCTTTCTGATGCCTTCGCTACGCTCTGTCTACATTTCTGTTTTCCCTGAAAGCCCCTGAGCCTTTGGCTTAGAATTAGTATCAGCTTTGGCGAAGCCACCAGGTATGAGGTTGCTGAGTGAGAGCAAAGATCCAAACTGAAAGTGACGCCTAAGCCATGATTCCCCACTGTGACACTGCCAGCCAGAGGCAAAGGAGGGAATTTCTGTAGGGGGTCTCGGAATGGAGGTCATGGGCTAGGACTGCAGATGGCCCAGGATTTGGTTCCTGAGTCTGGACTGCAGCCCCTTGCAGAGCACGGAAATGCACGTGGGCACCAGGTCTGCTGTGGGCAGGGCAGTGGCCCCTAAATGGCCCAGGCTTCTCATCACCTGGGGTCGGTTCCGACAGATCACACATGCGATCTGGGCCTGGAGCAGGCCTCCTCAGCCTTGTGCCTCAGCGGACTGCTAACAGCCGGGAGACTGATGCTGGGTCTTAGGGTAATGTGGTCATCTAGACGGAGAGCATATCGCCCTGACATGGAAATAACGCACGCTGGTCTGCAGGGACCTGTCACAAGGAGCATCTCTGCAGGGGTGTGGCTGGCAGAGCCCCGTCCTCTGTGACCGGGCACACGAGGGACTGAGCAGCTCACCTGCTCAGCATCATCCCCTTTGCTCCCCTTGGGCCACTTGCGTGCAAGTGTCTGATCTGCCTTCTCTCCTCACAGCTGCCCGGCCACAGTCCACGCTCAGGCCAGGTGAGTTCTGCTGCCTCCAGTCTTCGGGGTGTCTTCTCTCTCCCCAGTCACCTCAGCAGCCCCAACCAGTAGTCCTGAGAGGGGTGTGTGGAGGATCTCCACCTCTCAGTACCTTCCTAGGTCTCTCTAGATCCTGTGGATGGTTCCAGATGAGCCCCTGTCACATGGGTCCTCTGATCTGGCTCAGCGAGATAAGGGCTTTACAGCGACACAGTGTTCCCCACTGAGAGTAGGGTGACAGTGGGGGTCTGTCCTGGGGCCATTTGGACTTGGAAGCCTTACCTGGACCAAGAGGTCTGTGTGAGGAGGGAACAGATCTTCATCATGCCCTGCAGAGTCGAGGCCATGCTTTTACTGGACAGCACTCAGTCAGGAGAGCTCAGACATTGCTCTTGGGGATTGTACCAGCTCATGGCCCTTGTTGTGGACATTCGAGGGCATGGTTTGGGCTCACTGCAACTCTCAGGAAAGGGCCCTTTCTCCCCCAGACAGTGGAGCTCCTCAGTCCCCACTGTCTCAGACCCCAGTTGTAGGTCATTGGGCCAACCTTGATTCTGTAGATCTCCTTTCTGATTCTGCTGTTTTCCCTCCAGATTGGTGGGACACAACAACTCCTACCCATGGTAAGCATCACGGGAATCCTGCCAAGGTATCAGTGTTCAGTGTTCGTCAACAGGCCTGGGTGCAATGCCTGAACCTTGGGTTGGACCTCTGAGCTCACAGCCTCAACGAATGCGGAGGGTTGCCTTCACTTACCAGAAATATGGGTGGCTTTTTCCTACCAGCTATGGTGCATATTAGTCAAGACATTTTGGTTTGCAAGTGATAGGC